TATATATATATATATCTCTATAACATGCTATATATATGTTGTGCGTCATGTCATTTTCACTCCGGCATGTCAGCTCGCATAGCTGAGCGTGCCGAGATGAAAGTTTTCACCTTCAGCCAATCGGCTCGCACGTATAAACCTGCACGTCACAATGCGAAGTCCATTCGGTTGTTCTGTGCAAAGCTCCGTGCCCGACAGCTTAGCTTTGCTCTGCACGGCTTCGCATGCAGCGGGTCACGGGCTTAATACCACGCATTGCAGGTCATGGCAACAGCACGCACCTAGCACACAGTAACACACACACTAGGTGACAGCATGCGTTATTTGCACGGTATCATGTGATTAATGCACCGCTATGGTGTGAATAGGTCCTGACTACTTACCTGAGAGCAGCCAATGTAGTTTAATGCAACCTCCCCCTCCCGACTACAGAAATACTACAACCAAAAGTGAAAGTGCAGCGATCAGACCCCATGTTACAAACATATATAGGGCGTGACATGAAACACGGTCACATCTGCGACAGGCATGACTCCTAGAGGCAAATGCATGATGGCATTTGTAGTTTTGCTGCAGCTGGAGTGCCAAGGTGGTCTACCCCTGCACTAGGGAACGAACAGAGTCCCAAATCCGTGCGATTGTTCACTCCTAATGGTCGCTACTGATTCATCGCAGGCGATTTTCATACCGTGATCACCCCTCCATGTGCACCCAGTCTGCAGGAACCCACTCACAGCAAAGCTGTTACTTTGTATCATCTCTGCACTGATGGTATTTACTAATACAATGTAACAACTCTCCCTGCTGAGTATAACAAAGCTATGAGACTCCCCCCCCTCCCCCGGCTGGGCCCTCCGCACTCTGCAACACTCACCATCATAGACTTCTAGGAAACTTCTGCAGAGGGAAATGGATTCTCAAATCACATATAACACAACTCCCCCCACTCCACTCACCATGACTCCTCCAGCTTGTTCCTGCATTGACAGCAGCCACCCCTTCCTGGCCACGCCTTTTCCCAAAAACCCCACCTACCACCGAATGCATGGAGATTGCAGCTGAGACTTTAGTCTGGGGGCGTGGCCTAAAGGGCAGTGGATCAGTTTCAGTTTATCCCATAGTGAAGACAATTTAATAAAACATTAGAATGAACACGTCACCGCTTTGCATCATGGGAAACGCTGATTCCAGAAGTTCCACCTACTTATAGAGCAGAAGATCTTCCCGCACTGGAAATGAGCACAATTAACCCTTGCAGGGCGGCTATTACAGTGCTGCAAGGGTTAACTGCTGGGTTTAGTCTAGGGCAGTGGTGGCGAACCTTGGCACCCCAGCTGTTTTGGAACTACAAGTCCCATGAGGCATTGCAAAGCTCTGACAGCCACAGACATAACTCCCAGTGGCAGATGAATGGTGGGATTTGTAGTTTTGGCACAGCTGGAGTGCCAAGGTTCGCCACCACTGGTCTAGGGCTTGATTCAATAAAATATACTCATCAATGCCGCCTGGCTCCTAGACCGATCCCCACAGCCTCTTCTCCCCCAGACTCCAGCTCCCTAGAACCTCCTTCCTCCTGGTGATACCCCTCTAGTGATAATAAAGATCTATATACAGGAATCAGGACTTCCTTCCTCCTGCTGGGGATCCCTCTAGTGATATAAAGATCTATATAGAGAAATCAGGACCTCCTTCCTCCTGCTGGGGACCCCTCTAGTGATATAAAGATCTATATAGAGAAATCAGGACCTCCTTCCTCCTGCTGGGGACCCCTCTAGTGATATAAAGATCTATATAGAGAAATCAGGACCTCCTTCCTCCTGCTGGGGATCTGGTGATAGAGCTGGAGAGTACAGACCATAACTTCATTATTTGGCGCAGTTCCGACAATGGACACCAGAGGGCAGAAGAGGCTGATCAGTCCCGTGCAGTATATTAAGAAATACAACACATACAAACGACATAAATGGGACTCTACAGTCCTATAATCTTTGTTTGGCCTGAAGTTTACCTGAAGGGATGCACCAAGACCACTTCAGATACCAGTGCCGATACTTGGTGGCATTTTCATGAGAACTACCAGCATTGCAGAGGTTGCAGCTGGGACCGGGCTCTGGCGCTCCTCCACTGTCCTGAAATCATTAGTCTGTATTGTTTTAGAAAAACTGTCACATGACACTAAATAAAAATGTATCAGTACTTGTATCTGTGAGGACTCGGGTAAGTATCAGTACTTGTATCTGTGAGGACTCGGGTAAGTATCAGTACTTGTATCTGTGAGGACTCGGGTAAGTATCAGTACTTGTATCTGTGAGGACTCGGGTAAGTATCAGTACTCGTATCTGTGAGGACTCGGGTAAGTATCAGTACTTGTATCTGTGAGGACTCGGGTAAGTATCAGTACTTGTATCTGTGAGGACTCGGGTAAGTATCAGTACTTGTATCTGTGAGGACTCGGGTAAGTATCAGTACTTGTATCTGTGAGGACTCGGGTAAGTATCAGTACTCGTACTCGCAGAACTGGTATCTGTGCATTCCTTATATATGTTTATAAAAATAAAATCATACATTATAACAGAGATGTACAAATCCCGGGAGCTCCGTGTGCTCCTTACACATGACAGCCGCTTACTCTAACTTTTGTATGTTTCTCTAGTGTAGTCCTGGAGCTGGAGAAGTATCGGTACTTGTACTGAGTACGGTACTTGGTATGGGTGCATCCCTACAGACCTTTGTAATAGAAATATTTATCCCATCACAGTGTAAAATTGTTTTCCAAACAATCCTTTATATTTTTCAACAACTACAAACACTTGGATTTGTTTTGTACATGATGTTATATTCAGGGCTCGAGCACAGGGGATGATTTTCTGTGCATTTCCCCCACCAGGGACCCATCACAGCACCCTCCCTTAGTACTTGTCTCAAGAGCACTCTGATGCAAGCAGTGGGCGGTCTCTTAGGAGGAGGAGTTATGCAAATATCAAAAATGCCTTGATGGGTGGGTGTCAGTCTGGAGGAGCGGGCGTTCCTAGGCATGCTGTATTTGAATGCAGACCGCCCTTAGGTAACGCCCACATGTGATGCACAGTTGTAGCGGCTCCTCCCCTGGACTGACCAGGCTTCCTCTGATGTCACTGCACACTGGGAGCTTCGTACATTAGAAGTTGCAGCAAGTCTAATAAAGCTCCTTTCCTGGCTGAAGGACATCTAGCATCATCTAGTCTTTACTCCCCAGTCTGACTGTCCCCGATACCGGAACTTCTGGGTTTAGGATGCCGGGCAGCGAGTCATTACATGCTGCCCGGCTTCCTGATTGGCCGGGAAGCCGGCTCTATCCCCTCTCATCACTTGGTGAAGAGGGAACATTGAGCCAGCTTCCCGGGCCAATCAGGAAGCCAGCCCCACCCCTTTCATATACTCTTTCAATGACGGAGGCTCAGCCGACATGTGGGCGTTACCTAGGGCGGTCTGCATGCAAATTCAGCCTGCCTGGGAACGCCCACTCTTCCAGACTGCCACCCACCCATCAAGGCATTTTGATATTTGCATAACTCCTCCCAAAAGCCAGCCCGCAGGCAGGGTGCTGTGATGCCCCCCTCCCACCAGCCATGATCTATCTGCATTACATAGAGGAGCACAGAAACCCAGGCAAGTAATAAAAAGAAGTTTTATTGAAACATCTCATTAGCATATTAATGAGGGGGCGGGGGTGGGGAGGAGCCAGGGAAGGCAAATAAAGGCAGATTAAACCTCAGCTTTGAGTTTCCCGTTCATAAAGCAGTTCAGGTCTTTCAGTGATACGGACGGCTCGGCTACAAATGATCGCGTTACATGATGTTTATTTATATGACAAATGACAAAATATTTACAGCGTTTTTACAAAATCTGCCGTCAACAAACTGCGTCTGCGGGCGACGTTCAAGCTGCCGCTACAGATCCACTCTTCAGGTTTCCTACACGGGCGTTACTATCAAAGAACTGCTTTGATAGTAACAGTACAGGGCCCCTTTAAATGGATCATCTCCGGGGATCCTCTGTAATGAGCCGCTGAGCTGGGACAAGTGTGCAGACCGGGAGATCCACCTTCACTGGCTACATGCTTGTTCCAGGTCAACGACTTGCCAGATAGAGAAACAAGGCTGAAGATGTTCATAAGAACCAACAAATTCTTTTATCGGATTATTTTCCCATATGTCGGAGCAGGGGTAGGAAACCCCCCAAAACTCTGGCTGTTGTGGAACTACAAGTCCCATGAGGCATTGCAAGACTCTGACAGTCACAGACCTCAGTCCCAGAAGTAGAGAGATGATGGGGTTTGTAGTTGCAGCACAGCTGGAGCGCTGAGGTTGCCTACCCTTGTGTTAGAGAATCTGGGAGGGGGATAAAGGGCCATAAAGAGTCCTTCTGATGGGAATTCACTAGGGATGCACCTATACTAGTACCAGTACCGGTGCCGATACCGAGTATTTGGATGAGTACTCGATACCGGAACTTCTGGTTTTAGGAAGCCGGGCAGCGAGTCATTACATGCTGCCCGGCTTCCTGATTGGCCGGGAAGCCGGCTCTTTCCCCCCTCATCACTTGGTGAAGAGGGAACATTGAGCCAGCTTCCTGGGCCAATCAGGAAGCCGCAGGGCGAGTCATGCCTCCTGATTGGCCAGAAAGCTAGCTTCATGCTCACTCTTCACCTGGTGACGAGGGGGGATAGAGCCGGTTCTCTGGCCAATCAGGAAGCCGGTCGCAGTGCAATGACTCTCTGCCCGGTTTCCTGATTGGTTGAGAAGCTGACCAATCAGGCAGCCAGGCGGTGAGTCATTACCCGCCCCCCCGGCCTCTTGATTGGCCAGAAAGCGGGCTCCATGCTTCCTTATCACCTAGTGATCGGGAAGCCGGGTGGCGAGTCATTACACATCGCCCAGCTTCCTTAATGGGACTTCAGGTATCGGTATTCGGTATCGGCGAGCACCGGGAAAAAAATATTGGTCCTCGATACCGAAAAAACTGGTGTCGGTGCATCTCTAGAATGTACTCTCAGGGCGCCGTCACCAGGGCGATGCTTTTATCAGTCCGTGTACAGACGCTGGAAGAATGGAAGAAGTAACAATAAAAGGATATAAATTGTGTGGAGAAGAATAAACAGTGATGAGAGGTCAGGACTGGAGCAGCGCTACGGCTTGTGCAGGCGACATTCTGGTCCCAGCAAGACCTACACAGCGGATAGATCAGAACCCCGCCTTTGTATAACTGGAATTTGGGGTAAATAAAGGATCGGGATGACAACGTTCCAGGTTATTTTTCATCTAGCGGTCCCGGGGTTCTGGGCGTGGCCATTTTGGCGCCCAAAAAGTTCAGCAGTGACCTATATGTTCTGATCCAAAAATGGAACGTTCCAAATCAGCGACATGATGTATCAGTGATAAGAACACCGGACCCGGCATGCAATGCGATTCATCATCGCTGCCCAAAAGAACCCGCACCAAAGCGTCCGCGTCCACTGATCTGATGAGGCGACGCCATTGAGATAGAAGCAGCTGCCAGGTAGCCCCTCCCACAAATCAAATATCAGTTCTGGACGGCGACGACCTTATTGGCTCCTTTCTTCCTCTGAGGCTCCTTATTGGCCGTCTTCTTCTTCTGCCGCCTCAGATATTCCTCCGGATTGGACAATGCCTGGAGCTCTTCGTACGGCTTTTTGGCCAGACGCTCGACCTGGATTTTCTCCAGAATGTATTCCTGGGGAAAAAGGGAAATGGCTCTTCTATCATTTCCAAGATCCAAGACGTCCCGGCCAACAGCTAAACCAAGATATGTAAACCGCTTTACCTGACCAGAGGAATTGTAATGCTGTTCAGGCGGTCTTGTGATTCACACAGCACAGCCAGGAAGACGACTCCCATTCTATGTTATATATCATTTCCCTGCGTTGCCGGCTGGAGCTCATTGGACAGCCAGTTAGCGGTATGACAAAGCCAATTCACTGTCCAATGAGCAGGCTGGAGGCGACACAGGAAGCTGCAAAGCCGAACCAGGAAATAGAAGTGACACCTACCGGACTGTGCAGTAGGCAAGGAGCTGTGCCAATCACTAGACCTGCTGAACAGAATCAATTGGTGACCAGTACAGCTCAGTTAGATGTATGACAACGGTGTGCATAGCTGTCTGGCATTCTTCTTTAGTAAAGCCGCCCATCCCCCAGTCCTACCAGTGGCGTCACAAGGGGGGTACGGCCCGCACCCGAGTGTCACCATTGCAGGGGTGACACCAAAATGACTGACTCTCTAAAAATTTGGGCACTCGGTCATGGACCGAGAGCCCGACAGTGTCAGGAGAGAGCAGGGGACCCGGCGGCATACCTCATCCTGCCGGGTGAACGTCCCCTTCTCTCTCTGCAGGCGTCCATCACCAAGATGGCCGCCGGGCAGGCATCAATCAGATGGTTGCGCATGTGCGATGACGACACGGCGGGGTTTCACACGGTCTAGAGACCGGGAGAGACCTGGCCTCGGAACGCCCCTGAGTCCCACCTCCCTTTTTTGGACTGGGGTCCCCGGTTCGAATCCCAGTCAGGACAATACCTGCATGGAGTCTGCATGTTCTCCCTGTGCTCGTCTGGGTTTCCTCCCACACTCCAAAGACATGCCGGTTGGTTAATTGGCTCCTCTCTAACTCGGCCCTTGTATGTGAAATAGGGCCACTTTGATTGTATGGGTGATAGCGGCTTGTTGTCCAACTCGGCCCTTGTATGTAAGATTGGGCCCCTTATGGGGAGGGTTGTTTTGGATTAATAACAGGTTTATTTGCTCCAACAAAGGTGAGCTGGCCCTTTAATACGGAGACTACGGATACGGAGCAAGCTTTGTGCACTTGGGAGAGATCAAGGAGCCTGCAGGGGGTGTGTTTGGGAATTTCTTTCCTACATCACAAGCTGGGGTTCCCAGATCATCAGACTGATTACACATAGGGAGCTGGGCGGGGGGAAGGGCGGGTGCACTGCTGCCTGAATGGAACACTGAAGACCTGAGCAGGGAGTCTCTATGAATGCCAAGCTGCAAACTACAGCAGAAGGTTCTCACTTTGACCATGTCCAGCTTCTCGGCGAGGTCTACTTCGGAGAGAGGTCCATAGTGTTTCATATGACACTGATCGGCCAGGTTAATCACGGCCAATAGCAGGCTGCCGATTTCAACACTCTGCGGAATGAAAGAGAGAGATAAAAGAAAAATGTATTTCCGAGTTCAATCATAAAACAGCACTAGCCGCGAGTGGCCACTAGATGGCGCTGAGGAGCATAAATATTTATTTTCTATGTTCCACATTGCCATCTAGTGGCCACATTGATGCATTACATTACAATGCATTTGGCCTGAAAATAAACTATATTCATATATTCATTATTAATATTTTGTGATTAATATAATTATTATGTTATAATAGGTTTGTTTTTGGCAATGTTTGCACAATATTAATTTTCACAGGGGGCGAAGGGCTCTGCACATTGTTTATAAATACAACATTTAGGTGAATGTTTACCTTAAAATTGATCCCTTCCCGGTGTTCTATCAGATATTGTGACTTTGTTGAAATGTGTGACCGGTCACGTGGTCACACACACATAATCCCACCCAGTTTTTTGGCCGTGGAATGTGTGACCGCCAATAGGTCAAGCATTCCAACGCTTTCTCAGCTGTTCAAGGGCAGATCGGCATCGCAGATGGTATGTGCAGGAGAACCAATCTGTCCTGGAGCAGCTGATCGGTCCTGAAATGTCACCTTGTGGATTGTGAGAGCGCGCTCACAAAGTCACATTTCAGGACCGATCAGCTGTTCCAGGGCAGATCGGTTTTCCTGCACATGCGATCTACAATGCGGATCTGCCCTGGAACAGCTGAGAACGCGTTGGAATGCTTCACCTATTGCCGGTCACACATTCCACCGCCGAAAAACTGGGTGGGATTATGTTAAAATGTGTGACCCGTCACACATTCTAACGTAGTCACAAACTTTGATAGAACACCAGCAGCTCTTATTGGCAACTCAAGAAATTGGTACCCCAGAGGCGTTACATGGACTACACAATCATGTGATCACTATGACGATCACTGACGTAACTCAGGCGGCTGCCCGCTGGTAGATGGGACACCGCTCATGGTCATGTGACCACGGAGTTATGAATTATGAACTTTGTTTAATCTATAGAAAGCTATTTCCAGTAGTATAATTCAGATTTAATCCCCCCCCCCACCCCCAGGTCTTTCTTCCGGACCTACCTGGTTCCTGAACTGGCTCTTCTCCACGTTGAAGGTCAATTCCAGCTGTTTGTTTCTTTCCCGCAATCTGTCATAATCCAACTGCAACTGGGACAGCTCGCTGGTCATTGTCTGCGGAGCCCAAACACACACACAGGGTTAATGTCCCGAGAATACAAATGTCCCATAATGCACCTTGTCAGTCCTGTGGTGGCTGCATTCGTTTCCTTTTCATTTCCTCCTGGTGATCCTGCCAGTTAAACACTTCCTGTCCTAGAGTGACAAGGCTATTCCTGGAATACTACTCCTGCTACTCCTATACTAAGGTATTCCCTATTACTACTCCTGCCGGCTCACAGATGACACAATCAACTAGATCCTGGTGTCTGAGCAGCTCTGGGCTGTGTTCACAAATATCTGACGCAGATCAGCCCCACTGCAGCCTCTCACCTTGTGGCTTGCTACAAAGTTACAATGTTGCAGTCTGATCACTGGAGGAGGGAACACTGAGGAAATGCTTCCCCCTTACCGGCAGCCGATTGATCAATGTGGGAGGGGAGACTGAGGTCATGCTTCCTCCTGCCTGCAGCAGACTGATCACTGGGGGAGGGGAGACTGAGGAAATGCTCCCTCTTGCCTGCAAGAGACTGATCACTAAGGGGGAGGGGAGACTGAGGAAATGCTTCCTCCTGCCTGCAGCAGACTGATCACTGGGGGAGGGGAGACTGAGGAAATGCTCCCTCTTGCCTGCAAGAGACTGATCACTAAGGGGGAGGGGAGACTGAGGAAATGCTTCCTCCTGCCAGGCAGTCACCCGGTGGGATGAGGTATGTCGCCGGGTCCCCTCCTCTCTTCCAAAACTGTCGGGCGTTCGGTCCATGACTGAGTGCCCGACTTTTCAGAGGGGGGTGACACCAAAATGACTGCCAGTCATTTTGGTGTCACCCCTCCAAAGGTGTCACCCAGGTGCGGGCCGCACCCCCCGCACCCCCCTTGTGACGCCACTGCTCCGGAGGCCATTTTGTTCTGACCATTGTCCGAGTCATTTGCGCTCCCGTGTCGTCCTCTGGCCCAGCAATCCAGCCTCACGCGCGTTCGGAAGCCGCAGGAGAGAAACTGTTTCTATTCCTCATTGTCTCCCTGTAACTGTGTTTGAAGAATTCGGTTACCTTTGTATACAATAATAAATGGCGAATGTGAAACAGCCGGCGTCTGATTCCGGGCCAGCGCCGAGTAATCCTTTCATTGTCCGGCCGCCTGCACACAACACAGATTGCTCAACTCTCACGGCGGAATTCCACCACAAAAGAAGCAATTACCGCGTCTTTCCGCCTGCTCACTTCATGGCAACAGCACCTCCGTGACGGTCCAGGTGCCGCTGGGATCTCCTGCAGAGGGGGCGGCTGACATTAAAACACCACGGGGGCCCATTCACACCGGCCCCGCTGGGACATCGTCGCTCAGCACAGTCCCAATGCACAGACGAGGCAGTTGGCCTCGTGTCTTATTGCTATCGCTGATGAAAAAATAGGACTTGTTGCATTCTTTCCTCGCGCATGTTGATGTTCTCTAATGCATCAGAACGCTCTGCCGTGCATAGAGTTATATAGAGTGTAAAGCCAAAACAAAGAAGATAAGAGCAAACACTGGGATGTGTTTTAACAATGCATCACATGTGCACAACGCACACCAGCAGCCATGCATCATGCACACCTTATCCCGGGCCCGCTGGTGTGAATGAGCCCTTAAAGCAAACCCGTCGGCATGTGCAATGACCATTCATGGGGAAATATAGAGCAGGCAGGGCTGGATTTCCCACAAGGCCCGGCCTCGGGGCAGCAGGGAGTAGAGGAGCAGCAGGGGTGTGGAATTCCTATCTTCCGATGGCCGGGAACATGCAGTTCTGGGCGCCGGGTGGGTACTTGTTTTCTACATTTAGCCTGGCTTTGGGCAAGCAAAGCTAAATGTACAGCGGGGAAGCCGCCGAGAAATCTGGCCCTGAGAGCAGGGGTAGGCAACCTGGGCACATTAGCTGTGCTGATGCTACACTCATGTCTATGGCTGTCAGAGTCTTGCAATGCCCCGTGGGACTTGTAGTTCCACAACAGCTGGAGAACCAAAGTTGCCTATCCCTGATATATAGAGTATATACTGTAGGATGTCAATAGGGATGAGCCTTGGATTGGGGTTGACCATGAGTCTGAACCCAAGTTTTTCACAGTACACCTGATGAGCGAAAGATTTGGCCAATTCATTCAACCGCCAAACCTCAACCTGTGTACTAGCAGCCAATGACGTTGTACCATCCGCCTAGTGTCATTGGCTGACTGGTGGCTGAGCTGCACAACGTTATTGTTTAGTACCGTGTTTCCCCAAAAATACGACACAGTCTTATATTTTTTTTGTCTTAAAAAAACACACTAGGTCTTATTTTCGGGGTAGGTCTTTTTTTTTTTAAATGTACAACAATCCACACTTATTCATGTAGAAAAATATGGTGGTCAGGGCAATCAGGGGTGCCGTACCTTTCCAAGAGCAATGTGCTAACCAATCGCTGGCCAGAATGAGAGAAGCGCGCTGTCACTATGGATCCCTCACAGGCGGAGTGCATTTGGTATCACTCCGCCTGTGACAGGAGCCGGCGCTATAGAGGAGGCATCGGCTGATGCGGCTCTGCTCCCTCCGCTGCCGCCTCGCTTCCTCTAGTGCTGGTTTTGTTGGCACCGCTGATTCTCTCCCGTCTCTCCCGCGGCTCTTCAAGTTCCCCCTTATGCCACCACCGGCCCTGGGAATGGCCACAACTAGGTCTTATTTTGGGGGGTAGGTCTTATTTTCGGGGAAACAGGGTAGGAAGCAAGCGGGCGCACCACATGGCCATCAGCAGGTTGCACAATGTATTTGGTTGCTAGGACACAAGTGGCTCCGGATTCGGTTCACTTGGGTGTTTGCCAAACCCGGATGTCTGGCTGTAATCTGGGCTCACCCGTCCCTTCTGGGTGTCCAGGATATCCATGGCGGGTGTCAGCAGGGAGGGTGGAGGGAGCCCAGCGAATGTCTGTTTGCTGATCTCCCTTGGCTGCTACGAACCTAAAGGCGAGAAACTATGAACACTTCCATGTGTGTGGCAGCGTGCGGTCCCCCGTATGCACATTGAATAACAAAAAAGGGATAATAATAATAATAATAATAAAAGCAGGATTAAGGATAATAATATAAATAATAATAATTAGGGCTGTGCAAATTAACGATTAATTTCTTGATTAATCGTTAATGTTTTTGATCGATTACATTTTTTTTTAATCTTTCTGCATGAGCGCCAGCCAAGCCATTGTCCTATACACATACAGCACAGCAATGAAGTAATAAAATGAACTAGGATCACACTAATCCAACACGTTATTATTCTGAGTTGCCCCACTCAAGCGGCGGCCATATTGAGTGCGGCACGTGAGAGCTCGAGCCTGAGATTGGCAGTTAGGTTTCAGCACTTGAGTGTATGGGAAGGGGGGAGGGCGGGGGAACACTAACTGGTGCATCAAATATGTTTACAAAATATAAAATATATACGCCGGTACATGTGGTTTAGTGCGAGGGGTTAATTCCACTTTAAAGGAGAACTATGTGGTCAGTGTTTTTCCCCATACACAAATTAGCGTCCTCCCGTGACCCAAAGCTGAGTATACCTCGCGGTATACTGAGACCGCCGCAGCCGGGACGGATCCTGACATTACTGTCTGGATCCACCCAGCTGCGTGATTGACAGCTGGCTCTGCCTATCTAGAGGCAGAGCCAGCTGTACCCTCCCCCGTCCGTTCCGCCAGTCAGCGCTGGAGGATCGGACAGGGGAGGGGGGAATCCCTGCAGGGAGCCGTGAGTGACAGTCACGGGTCTCTGCAGGGACAGGATCGAGAAGTGAGCGAGCGACGGTATGCGTTCGCTCATTTCCCGATCTACTGGGCCGACCTGTGACAGTCTCATTGTCACACGTCGCCTCGAAGTATGAGGATGAGTGATTTTCACTCACCTCATAGTTCTCCTTTAATGACACAAGACCTTCAGGTCTGGCAGAGTCGGGCTGACGGTCACATTACCAGTTTGGACGTGTCGTGCTTCCTCTTTAGCGCCTCCAGGTTGTACTGCGCGACCTCGTGCTCGTCCGCCAGCACCGTCAGGTTATTCACCAGATTCCCGTTGGTAAAGGACAGCGTCTCGTAGCGTCTGATAATGGCTTTCACCGGAGAATCCATTCCGTATTCCAAATAATCTGCAACACGGGACAGAGAGAACTCATCAGACAATTCCCTTATGAAGCCTTTGTGCTCACCAGAGACCGGTGACAACGTTTACCTGGCGTGCCATTGTTATACTTCCTGCCCGCTGACAAATGTGGGACCCGACTGAGAAATTCTACCTATAGTCACGTGGTGGCCAAGATCGTCCAGCTGGTTGGTCAGGGTCATTCCTTCCCCCTTCTCTATCAGATCAATGTTATACCTTTTTAAAATGGTTGTTTTTTTAATCCATTTTCTACTTTTTATACTGAAACTTTGTTTCACAAAAACAGGGACCACCCGTGACAAAGGATTCCCAGAGAACCCGGCAGTAGTTATCTCCTTTCATTCACTCTCTGATTAAAAGCTCAGATGCAGCCGTACAGAGAAAGGGGGAGGAGACACTGCTCTGCTCCTCATTCCCATGTGTAAAATCTCAGCTTGAGCTACTGGGCTCTATAAACAACAGATTTGTTTTTTCAGCAATGCAGACAAGGATAGCCTAGTAACCTAAAGAGAGAACTGCTGTGTCAGAAACCACCTGTTACTGCGCATGTGCAGGGTCCAGTTTTCTGTACTGCGGGGAAACGTGCACCTGCAGCAGTCCACCCTAGGGAGGCAATGATGTGGCAGTTTGGAATAAAGGCCGCCTTCTGGTCACATGGTGGTGGGCAGTGGTTCCCTGAGGTTGCTGCTCGGAGATACAGACGCCATGGAACAGCCACGCAAAAGCGTGCCAAACGGCGCACAGGAAGTGATGCTGCTTCCTGATGGATCTGCCTATTTAAAGCCAGCCTACCTGACTCCAAGTTGCTGGATGGCTGTGTTCCTCGTGGTTCTGATTACCTTGTTGACTTTGACCCGGATTATCCTTGACCTCGTTGATTGCTGCCTGCCCCTGACCTTCTGCTTGCTCACTGGACCTGCCTCTGTCTCCTGCCTTTGTACCTCGCTGCCTGACTGGATTGACCCCTGGCTTGTTTGACCTTGCTCTTGGGTCTTGCTCTGCACTCCGCTGCCTGCCTGGTTTTGACTACAGCTCAGCCTGACCCGATCCGATGCCGGAAACTCCAGCTTGCGCGGTGTGATCACCACCGGCACCTGTGCCACTCGCTGTCCACTCAGACTCTGTTCCCAACTCCAGAGTCTTTGGGACACGAGGTGCAAGGGAAGCCTCCTCCCTACATTCAGTCTCCACCCGGGTACGTGACAAGCTGGCTGGAAATGAGAATATATATATAATGCAACATTTTATATTTTCCTGCTTGCTATTAGGGCTGCGGAAATGAACGATTAATTACTTGATTAATCGTTAAAATTTTTGATCAGTAATTAAAACTCTCACCTCTCCGTCGGCTTCCGGGTCTTCCGGGAGTCCCGTCGGAGATCCGGTGACGTCACGGACATCGACGTCACCGGACTCCTCCCCCCTTCCCTTCTTTAGCCGACGGAGCCACTCGGGCCGGTGATCGATCGAAAGTTCTAACCTGTCGAGTTCTGCGACCGCCTGACTTCCGGTTTCGTTACAACTAAGAGGTTTGCTCAAGAAACTTGTTCTGCACGAGCGCCAGCCAAGGCATTGTCCTATACACATACAGCACAGCAATGAAGTCATAAAATGAGCTAGGATCACACTAATCCAGCACGTTATTAATCTCACGTGCCCCACTCAAGCGGCGGCCATATTGAGTGGGGCACGTGAGATCAATAACGTGCTGGATTAGTGTGATCCTAGTTCATTTTATTAATTAAAAAAATAATTAATAAATAAAAAATAACTTACGTCAGTGCTACAGTTTGAATTTAAAACGTATTTGTGTGAAGTTAAGTCATGGATTGTTGAAACGAACCAGTGTCGGGTGATTGTATATAGTGTATACCACATTTACCACTGACTATTGCAGAGTTGCAATGCAAGCAGATCAGCTAAAAGTAGTTGGATCTGTATGTGCGTTATAATTAATCGAAATTAATCGATAAAAAAAAATTTGATTAATCGAACACGAAAATTTTAATCAGTACCAGCCCTACTTGCTGTGCATTGCCTTTTAGAAGTAACTGACCGCGCAGGCAGGGCTTCTCTGCCCGGCTCATAAGTAAGATACACCGCGGCAGGTCCTGGTTTTGGAGGACAGGTATGGATATATTACTGACTGCTTGTCTGTAGCCATCCTTAGGCACAGTCATTGTTCTGTACTAGTAAGCAGTAAGTGGAGTCTAATGGACAATTAGGGTCACCCATTGTACATATATAATAAGACACACTCATGGTGCAGCACTACTACGTGGTAAGTGGAGTCTAATGGACAATTAGGGTCACCCATTGTACATATATAATAAGACACACTCATGGTGCAGCACTACTAAGTGGTAAGTGGAGTCTAACAGACAATTAGGGTCACCCATTGTACATATATAATAAGACACACTCATGGTGCAGCACTACTACGTGGTAAGTGGAGTCTAATGGACAATTAGGGTCACCCATAGTACATATATAATACGACACACTCATGGTGCAGCACTACTACGTGGTAAGTGGAGTCTAATGGACAATTAGGGTCACCCATAGTACATATATAATACGACACACTCATGGTGCAGCACTACTACGTGGTAAGTGGAGTCTAATGGACAATTAGGGTCACCCATAGTACATATATAATACGACACACTCATGGTGCAGCACTACTACGTGGTAAGTGGAGTCTAATGGACAATTAGGGTCACCCATAGTACATATATAATACGACACACTCATGGTGCAGCACTACTACGTGGTAAGTGGAGTCTAATGGACAATTAGGGTCACCCATAGTACATATATAATACGACACACTCATGGTGCAGCACTACTACGTGGTAAGTGGAGTCTAATGGACAATTAGGGTCACCCATAGTACATATATAATACGACACACTCATGGTGCAGCACTACTACGTGGTAAGTGGAGTCTAATGGACAATTAGGGTCACCCATAGTACATATATAATACGACACACTCATGGTGCAGCACTACTACGTGGTAAGTGGAGTCTAATGGACAATTAGGGTCACCCATAGTACATATATAATACGACACACTCATGGTGCAGCACTACTACGTGGTAAGTGGAGTCTAATGGACAATTAGGGTCACCCATAGTACATATATAATACGACACACTCATGGTGCAGCACTACTACGTGGTAAGTGGAGTCTAATGGACAATTAGGGTCACCCATAGTACATATATAATACGACACACTCATGGTGCAGCACTACTACGTGGTAAGTGGAGTCTAATGGACAATTAGGGTCACCCATAGTACATATATAATACGACACACTCATGGTGCAGCACTACTACGTGGTAAGTGGAGTCTAATGGACAATTAGGGTCACCCATAGTACATATATAATACGACACACTCATGGTGCAGCACTACTACGTGGTAAGTGGAGTCTAATGGACAATTAGGGTCACCCATAGTACATATATAATACGACACACTCATGGTGCAGCACTACTACGTGGTAAGTGGAGTCTAATGGACAATTAGGGTCACCCATAGTACATATATAATACGACACACTCATGGTGCAGCACTACTACGTGGTAAGTGGAGTCTAATGGACAATTAGGGTCACCCATAGTACATATATAATACGACACACTCATGGTGCAGCACTACTACGTGGTAAGTGGAGTCTAATGGACAATTAGGGTCACCCATAGTACATATATAATACGACACACTCATGGTGCAGCACTACTACGTGGTAAGTGGAGTCTAATGGACAATTAGGGTCACCCATAGTACATATATAATACGACACACTCATGGTGCAGCACTACTACGTGGTAAGTGGAGTCTTATAGACAATTGGGGTCATCCAGATGCCATAAGACACACTCATTGTGCGGCACTATTAAGCAGCAAGTGGAGTCTGGGTCTGCATAATAGCCAGGCAACCAGCAATGTCATAATGAGAGTTCGGCAATGGCAGCATATGAATTGTCTCCGTTCCGGCTTACAATAGAAGGGAGCTGGAAAGAAGAGAACATTGGGCTCTGGGATTTCTGTGGTGTCGGTTCTATGAGGAGAAACGATGAAAGGGAAAAAGCTGAGTGCGGTCACCGGTTGCTTACTGTCTGGGACTTTCTCCACCATCTTCAACAAGAACTCTTCATAGATTTTATTCCTCTTCATCCGTTCATGAAGATTCTGCTGTCTAAGGAGACATGAGAGTTATTATGTTATTCCTCCTTCCTGCTCTGAGCTTTCCCTTCTTTGTCTTTATTACAAGTGGTCAAGACAGGGGTAGAAGATTGTGTGACTGCACCTAGACTCCGCCTCTTCCTGGAGGGCCCATAGGACATTCCTACCCATATCCAAATGCTTTGCCATCATCATCGTCTTCAGCAAGGGAGCAGGTAATGGCTCCTCTTGGAGGGGAGAGAACATACCGTGCAGGTTGGAGGGGTATAGTAGTTGTGGAGGGGGGTAGTTAGGGAGAACTTAGGGGAGCTGGAGAGTTAAAGGATGGCATGGAAAGGAGAGGTTATAGGATTGGGGTTGGGGGTAGGTATTGAGCAGGGGTTATAGGAGCTGGAGGGTTAAAGGAAGGTGTGGAGGAGAGGTTATAGGATTGGGGTTGGGGGTAGGTATTGAGCAGGGGTTATAGGAGCTGGAGGGTTAAAGGAAGGTGTGGACGAGAGGTTTTAGGATGGGGGGTATTGGTAATGAGGAGGGGGTTATAGTAGCTGGAGGCTTAAAGGAGGGGTTATAGGATTTGGTGAGGGAGGTGTTTTAGGAGTTGGGGGTAATGTTGTAGTAGTTTGGGGTTGAGAGTATGTCAGTTACAGGAGATGTGGGGGAAGGGTTATTGGATTTGGGTAGTGTGTAGGTGTGGAGGAGGAGTTATAGGAGGTGGAGGGAGTAGGTGTGGAGGAGGGGTTAAGGATTTGGGGTAGGGTTATAAGCGTTTGAGGTTAAGGGTAGGGGTTAAGAAGTGATTATAGAGTTTGAAAGGTGGTGGGGGGTTATAAAGGAGGGTTGTCGAAGATTTTGAGAAATGGGGTAGGGTAGGTGTGAAAGAGGGATTATGCTATTTTTTTGAGGTAGGTATGAAGGAGGAGTTATGAGAGGGGAGGGGTAGGTGTTTAGCAGGGGTAGGAGGGGGTTATAAGAATTTGAGGTAGGTGTGAAGGAGGGAAGGGTCCAGCAAGAGGATAAAGCCAGTAAACCATCATGGCTGCTACATCAGTTAATGCTCTGGGTAGTCACATGACTATCCGGCAGGCGGATAACCCCGCTGAGCCAACCCAAGTGCACATTAGCCCCTCCCCCTTGTACCCTGTTGACAGGAGCCGCCTACCTGACTCTCTTTTCTTCAAGTCGCTCTGCCAGTTGGTGGATTTCAGCTTTGCGCAGATCATTTTGCCGGGACTCTGCTTGGTATCTCACCGTTGCCCGGCGCTGTTTGGCTTCGCTGTCCTTTAGGAACTTTTCAAACTTTGCAGCTTTATCTGCACACTGGGAATGAGCAATTGACGTAGCATTAGGGCCGGGGACCCATAAGGAAGCTCACAGAGGGAATTGCATGGCTAGATATTGGAATACGGCCTTAGTCATGTGACCCAGCCAATGCCGTGCTATATGACCGTCCAGCAGAAGGAGGGTGACAACACTTTGCCCCACCTCTTGCCAGCCCCAACCCAGCCCCACCTCTTGCCAGCCCCAACCCAGCCCCACCTCTTGCCAACCTAACCCAGCCCCACCTCTTGCCTCCTCTCTGGACTACGAGTGAACATCTCCACATTGGTGACACATTGACCGAGCCTCCTGTATGCTCATCTGGCCACCTCCCCCTTCATCTATCAGCTGACAAAGCGGCACTCCCACCACCAGCCTGATTTCTCCTTTAAATAAAGACAAATTTAAAGTGTGTTCTTATTCATTTGTCTGGAGCCATTTTTTTATTTTTGTTAAAGGAGAACTATGAGGTGAGTGCTTTTCACTCACCTCATCGTTCTAGCCGACCTGAACAGGGGAGGGGCTGGATTCCCCCCTCCCCGCTTCGATCCGCCAGCGCTGACTGGCGGAACGGACGGGGGAGGGGGCGGGTACAGCTGGCTCTGCCTCTAGATAGGCAGAGCGAGCTGTCACTCACACAGCTGGGCGGATCCCGGCACAATTGTCTGCTTCAGCTGCGGCATCTTAGTATACTGCGAGCTACAGCTCGCGATATACTGAGCCTAGGGTGACGGGAGGACGCTAGTTTGTGTCCTCCCGTTACCCTAAGGAGAACTATGGGGAAAAGCCCTGACCCCATAGCTCTCCTTTAAAGAAAACAACACCAGCCGCAAGATATATACGCAGAAGTTATTTTCAGTGCCAAAACCCTCCGTGGGCAGCTGAAAACATGCAAATGTTGACTTTTCATACAAGAGTCAAAGTTGGTCCCACCATCTGAGCCGTCCAGTTGCTGAATGAAGCCACCATTCACGTTACAGGACCAACAGGAAGCCTCGGATGGAAAAAGGGGGCGGGACCAAGCGTGACTTTGACAAGAAAAGCCACCCTTCACGTTACAGGACCAATAAGGAGCCTTGGATGAAAAAAGGGGGCGGGACCAAGCTTGACTTTGACAAGAAACGCCACCCTTCCCGCTACAGGACCAATAGGGAGCCTCGGTTGGAAAAAGGGAGTGGGACCAAGCGTGACTTTGACAAGAAAAGCCACCCTTCACGTTACAGGACCAATAAGGAGCCTTGGATGAAAAAAGGGGGCGGGACCAAGCGTGACTTTTACAAGAAAAGCCACCCTTCACGCTACAGGACCTCACCTCTTTCTCTCTTAGCGTTAACTCCTCCCTCTGCGCTTCCAGCTCCTGCATGCGCTGGCTGAACTCCTGACGTTTGCGGACCAGTTCCTGGCTGACGCGGTCATACTCCACCTCCTTTTTCAGAACCAGCGTCTTCTGCAGAGTGTTCTTACTGGTGTCCAAAATCTTACCAGCAGCCTAAACTCAAGCAGACAAAATTTCCAGTTACGGGCGGATGTCGGGTACATTAGCGTATGCTCATACATTTCTAGTTCCCCACCTGACACTCCAGCAACTAACATTTTCAAAAGGAGTTTATCAAACTGCTGCAGGCAGGAGGAAGCATTTCCTCAGTCTCCCCTCCCCCCAGTGATCAGTCTGCTGCAGGCAGGAGGAAGCATTTCCTGAGTCTCTGCTCCCCCAGTGATCAGTCTGCTGCAGGCAGGAGGAAGCATTTCCTCCATCTCCCAGTGATCAGTCTGCTGCAGGCAGGAGGAAGCATTTCCTCAGTCTCCCCTCCCCCCAGTGATCAGTCTGCTGCAGGCAGGAGGAAGCATTTCCTTAGTCTCCCCTCCCCCCAGTGATCTGTCTGCTACAGGTAGAGGGAAGCATTTCCTCAGTCTCCCCTCCCCCAGTGATGAGTGTTGCAGGCAGGAGGAAGCATTTCCGCGGTCTCCCCTCCCCCAGTGATCAGACTGCTGCAGGCAGGAGGAAGCATTTCCTGAGTCTCTGCTCCCCCAGTGATCAGTCTGCTGCAGGCAGGAGGAAGCATTTCCTCCATCTCCCAGTGATCAGTCTGCTGCAGGCAGGAGGAAGCATTTCCTTAGTCTCCCCTCCCCCCAGAAACATTTTCCTCAGTATACTTCAGGCAGATGAAGGCATTGTCAGGGGGAGTCTTATGTTCTCTTTGAGAGATAATAAATCCCTGGAGGGGTCACACTGATACATTGCTGAGGGTGCCGCATGTAACATGACACAGTTTATCTGATGCCGGCTCCACTTTCATTGGCCCGTCACAGCTGACACCATCGAAGTCACGCACACTCGCCTCTTTTATGATGGGGATTTGGGTGATATCTTCATCCACGTCATCCCTGAAAAACAAAGTTTAGACATTTACAGGGATTCCTGACAACTCTACATGGCGGGTTTGGAGAATCGGCTCGGTGTTACCGCCACTCTCCGGGCACGGTGCCAGCGCCTGCTGAGCCCGCATCATGAAAATGCCATGCTGCTATTTGTAGCCGGTTGGTCTGGCGTATCCCCGAGCTCCGGACTGTTCACACTGAGACCATCCAATCACCGAACTGCCCAAAAAGACTCATTCACACCAACCCGTGATACTGCACTTCTCCAGACTGACACCCGCCCATCCAGGTATTGTGATATTTTGCATAACTCCTCCCATAAGCCAGCCCATTGCATGCATCAGGGCTGAGAGATCTTAAAGGAGAACTATGAGGTCGGTGCTTTTCACTCACCTCATAGTTCTAGCCGACCTGTGACAATGAGACTAGTTTGTGCCCCCCCCGTTACCCTAAGGAGAACTATGGGGAAAAGCCCTGACCCCATAGTTCTCCTTTAAGCTCCCTCGTCTGCTGCTAACTCCGCCCTCTCGTGGTTCTTGCAACTGTCCATTTAAAGACTGTCACAGGTCGGCTCAGTAGATCGGGAGGTGAGCGAACACATACCGGCGTTCGCTCACCTCTCGATCCTGTCACGGCTCTCTGCCGTGACAGGGGAGGACCACCCCCTGAGGTGTGGACGGTGATATACTCCTTTCAAAAAAAAAATGAGGACCCTCATCCCAAAGTACACCCGATATTCCTCACTCCCCCCTATATCCCGATCCCACTGACATTATTTATGCATCTGTTGCATGTTGTGTAAAGGCAGCTCAATCATTGTGAATGAACCTCAATGCGTTTTATTCAATACAAAAACACCACAACGCATAGAAGATGATGTGCATTGCAGTACCCTAAATTGCATGTGCATTGTGGGGTGTTGGGGTCCCTTATTAAAATGATCCGCACTGGAACGCACTGCACTTGTGCTTTACTGCAACATGCATGGAGCTGCCGTGTAAATGTCCTGTGGAGGTCTGTTCACAGCTCTTACAGCAAAGAATCCCGTCTGCCTGGCTTGATGAAACCTCTGCTGGTGTGATGACATTCTGCACACATTGCATTGCTCTATCTCCCCC